CATGGGTAATGGCGTGTGAGTATTTAAGCTTGGGATTGCACGTGGGCAATCATTCTAGGCCGACACCACTCACTATAATTTTTTATTTTTGTTAATCGCCTCGTAGGATGGGCTGCAGAGCTTGGGCCTGGTTCCTACCCAGATTTCCTGTCATATTTTTTCCCTACGGGGTTTTTTTCGGCAGGTTTTTTCTGGCCCCCGTCTAACCACTGTGTCTTGTTAGTGGTTGCCCAGCTCTCGTTATTTTCCTAGCTGCTATTGGAGGGACTTAGAAGATAGTGTTAGATTTCCATGGTTTTTTGTATTAGATTACTTATTGTACTCTGGTGCTCGGCCCAAACACGCAAAATAAACGTAATGGTTCATTATGTGCTCTGTCTGTTGCGTAGTGAAGCTGAAATATAGGCAGCTGTTTCTGTAGTCAGAATGATCGCCACCTGATGCAGGGGTGTTTCCACCATTTTCTTTTTCTTTTACTAAACTTAAGCCCTGCTTATAAAGAGAAATTTGTCCCGGGTAGAAGGATCACCATGAAGGCACCCCAGCTACCCTGGGCGAGCCAGCTTTTCTTCATTTCTTTTTATCATACATTTCCTTAAAAATGTGGCGAATCGTTTACGAGAAACAAAAAGTTTGCAAGGGTGACCCGCCAGCCGGGTAACCAGCCGGGTCAACTCGATCAAGGCGAGCATGCGCGAGCGCTGTTGGCCCGGGCAAAGGTAAAGGCCAAAGGGTCAACGTTTGTCACATACAAACGCCCGCTTAAGTTGACTCAGCTGTGAGGGTGATAGCCTGCTAGCAAGCTCTCCGTTTATGTGCTTTTCTTTTCCATTTTCTATCCCCGCCCATCGAAATCTCGCGCGTCTCCTTTCGCGTTGCTCTCACGTGACTTCTCGCGACTCCCCCCAAATGGAGAGCTTGCTCGCAGGCTACATTTTACCCGAGACAGGTTTTCTCCACATAAACGGGGCCTTGAATACAGATTTTAGAACACAACCCCTGAAAAATTCCCTAACAATGGCAAATTGAACGAGATGGAATATGCCGAGCAAGGATGCCAGTTTAAAACAGCTCGAGCTCACTTTTTAAGCGATGTTTTCCCCTCCGTCGCTTTCGCTGGTTGAAACGGATCTGATCGTGTTGGTCCAGGAGATGCTCTCTTGGTCGATCCAGTTTCATCTATTCAAACATTGGATTATGAACATGTCGAAACTTGTTGGACTTTGTCGGATTTTGTAACCCTTTCACTCTCAAAACTGACCAAAGAAAAAATTCAACAAAATGATCAATTTTCAATCTGTGAAACGTGGAAAAACATATAGTACTATGTGGAAGTACAGTAAAAGAGGTTTCCTTTGGTCACACATTTGCTATTGTTCTCGTCCCGGGGGGACGCCACATATGAAAGGGGTGAGGATACTCGTTGGAAATTTTGAATTAAACCCCTAAAGGAGACCGATCTGGGCGTGGCCCAAGATTTTTCGACCCCTAAAAGAGACCATGTTAAAACACAGACAATATATATATTTTTATATTTTTTCGCGTGCAACCCTAAACGAGACGTTCAGGGCTAAATATGATGGCGTTTTTCCCAGAAGACCCTAAGCGGAGACCAAAATCCGAAATTTACACCCCGAAGCGAGACGACGAGCATCCCCACCACTTTCATATGCGGAGTCCCCCCCGGGGGTTCTCGTGTTCCGCAATATGTGGCCCACGTTTGATCAAGTCTCTTATTCTCGACTTCAGTGCCTTCGGCTCTTTTCCTCATGCTTTGTCATACGCCAATAGAGAGAGAAAACAAGACATGAATCCTCCTTTACCCTCCCAATGCAGGACTCTGCGCACGCACAATTATTATTCGTTTGCGTGTGGTGTTCTTATAACTTCTGATAAAGGGTTTTAAATCTTTTGCCGATATTAAAGTATCATTTCTTTTGTCTTAAAAATTTCAATTTAACATGTTAGATGCACGTTTTATTCATCGCGTACCTTTGGCATTCAGTTAGGTGTTCACTGGTGCGGTTTCAGCGAGTTCTCAACCAGGTTCTCTCTAGAAGTATCACATATTACATATAAATGTAGTCCAACTTCAACTGTTGCCAGAGCACCAGCGTGAGATAAATTCAGATTTAGCGAGGACAAAACTGATTATTGAAAAATAAAACAGATTTATTTCCAACACTCGAGTAACATCTTTGCTCTTAAATAACTGTAATGTGATAACATCTCAACTTGAGGTTTCTCATTTGAACAAATTAAAGAAAATACGTAAACATGAATGCCTTGAAACGACGATGACTTACGAGGAAAACCTTAGAGTTCGATTTTGGTACCACAGCCAAGGTTTCCTTAGCAAGAGGAAGACACGATGGGGGATGAGTTCGAGTTTATTCCCACAGAGCAGCTAAAAATGGAGCCTTTTCAAGTACAACAAAATTTCTACACATGAACATAACTGGAACAAGCTTGAAGGAAGATTTTTTATAACAGAGGTAATTAACGAATGCATGTATTCGGGCGACCGACTTATTCTCAGTCTCTGTTGAGCCTCTGATCTATTCCTCTGATCTGCTAAATAGCGAGAGGAGTTTAGAAGAGAGAACTATTTGTTTTACCAAAGATTAAACTACATCTATACCTACCTACTCAGATTATAACGACACTGTATATCATACATTAATTATATATAAAAAACCCTCTTCATATTTAAGAATGTCGATCCTTACAGCTGCTTACATACATTCATGTATGGAATATAGGACAAAAACTTGTTCTTTAATTACAGCCTTTATTTTGATTTAAGATTTATAACATAAATAATGTTGGTAATACCATGCAATAAAGTTGTTGCTGTTATATTATTTAAGTATGGTACTTCTCACTTCAAATATTTATGGAAGATTTAACGTTACTGTTTTACGGCACGGCTAATAACTTAACTTATATTACAAACAATTCGACGTTAGAGGAGGAAGGTTGAAGAGCATGCTGCGTACTTTATTTTCATTTTGAAGTAAAAAGTTTGACTGAGCTGAAGGTCACTCATGAGTTGTCACGATCGACGTTGAATTTTCTACAACTGGCTCCAGTTTGATCTGTTTGTTTGCTACCTTTGAAACAAGTTAAACTACCTAACTAAAAGCCTATTTCTTTTTAGGATCAATATTCACATTCTGGTGGAAGACATTTTGAGGATCGTACTTTACTTTCAACTCTTTCAGTCTCTGCAGAACTTTTTCAGCCTCGGGGCCTTGTGGGAAGATTCCATATTTGGACAGTTTCTGATCGATACCGTCGGCCCATGTCTTTATGACGTCAAACGAGTTTGGATCCTGAGTGGCGACTACAGGACCAATCCAGTATCTGTTTAGAAAAATTTAGTTAAAAAAAAAAATTAAAAAATTAATTTAGAACTACTTTTTTGTAACGTTAAAATTTGCCGCCATTTTGGCACACCAGGTCACGGTAGCCTATGACGTAGACTAAGGAACTAAAGAATAACGAAAATACGGAACACGTGACTTTAGTAACTGAATTTATGTTTCTTGACATTACACATGAGCCAAAGGCTTCCCCTGATGATTCGAAGAATTCTGACGATCAACTTATCATATATCCATGAGTATTCCAAATAATAAATTCCGCAAATTTCTCGGAAGTGAACGCGAAAACTACAAAATGTATAAAGGGTTTGGCGAAGAAGAGAGTGATTAGTATTTCTTAGAAATGACTCACGGATAAGAAATATGACTGCTCACCCGGCTGCTTTAAAAGCGAACGCGTTGTCCTCGTCTGTCATTTCATTTAGTTTTCCTCCAAGGCTTGATATATAAATGTTGCTAGATGTTATTGTTCGTGAATCGGGCGCTTCATTGACTTCGCCGAAGATCATATCAATTAACTCATCATCCAGTTCTGTTTAGAAAGGTCAGAAACTTTGTTAGCAATGCAGGGTCAATTTTAGAAACGGAATAACAAGGAAAGCCATCTAACACCAATCAAGAATTTTAAGCAAATTTTTTTTTTGGCGGGTTTGTCTTAGCTGAGAGCTTGAGATTTTTCAGGCTGCAAGAGAGGCCTTTTTTAGGAGGGAGGGGAAGAGGGGAAATGGGGCGAGCACTAGGATTGGATGTCTTTTGAAGACTTAAAACATTCTTAGAAGTGTAAACAGAACATTCTTAAACACCTTCTATGTTGGTTATACAACCTATAGCGCAGCAGGATTAGCTCAGTTGGTAGAGCGCTTGACTGCAGAGCGGGAGGTCGGGGGTTCGATTCCCGGGACCGGACCAACACTCAGGATCTTAGGAAACGTAAAAATAGTGTCCCCGATTAGTACTTTCATGCTAAATACATTGACACTCAGTAAAGTGCATTTTTTAAGTGCATCATACTTAAAGCTTGTAATTCTTCAAAAGGTACCAAAAATTAAACAGTTAATTAATAAACAGACAAAAATATCTCCTCCAGTCATACCTTTAGCAAACGCTCCCATTGGTGTATAGTAAAATCGTCCTCTAGGAACCATCCAATCAGCACTTTTCTGGAACTGATCAAAAAGTACAGGCTTCACTTTGTTATCAACGGGTTTTGTTCGATCTGTCAACTCCATTAGCAGTTCACCACCTTCTTTTCGTGGGCCAATAAAAAGAAAACGGCAGATTGCTTGAGGTCTGCAAAAGAAAGAGAAGAGGTGAGGGCTAGCTCAGTCAGAAGAGAACTTGTCTTTAGAGCAGGAGGTCAAGCTCAATGCTTTTGCCTTGATCACGAATGACAAGCAAGGAAAGACGCTTGCAAAACCTCCCATTTACTCACAGCTGCTTGCACTGTTCCTTGATTCTGAGTATTTTATTCTCCTTGCCTATCAACTTGTATCCAGTATAGTTAATCCTAGGGGCAGAGATCAGATTTTTAACACGGGAGGGGAAGGGGTGACGGGTTAATTGGTCACCAGTTGTTATCAATTAATAGCTTTTAGTTTTTTTAAATAAACAATATTTATTACCACATTTACTCTAACAGCCTAAAGGGCTCATCTAGAGAGCTTGATGTTGAGCTTGATCTTGATTGGTTCAGCAGGATAATGAAGTGTCTGTTATCATTAGGTGTAGAGGGGGTGTCTGAAAATAAGAAGGAGGAAGTGTACATGGGGATACAATAAATGGGTGTGCATGGCTAACAACTAACATGAATAAGTTCTTACCCACTAGACTTAAAATGCACCATCATGTAGACTGAAAGTCTGTTATCTTCCTTTTCACGAATGAAGTCTCTTATATCTTTGAAAGCCCCTACCGCTTGGGAAATGGAGTAAAACAGGTCCCCTCCAATGACATGGTCAGGAATATCATGAAGCTGAAATGTTATGGATGTCACTACTCTAATGGGAAACAACAGGCACAAATGTTTAGTCCAATACTTAATATTGGGTCCTGAGGGGTTCATGATTTCCTTAGAGTGAAATGACTAGACAACAGTCATGCTGGCTGGTGGTCACTGTTAGGAGTTATCCAAGGACCCCTCCCTGGTACTACCCTGTTATTAAGACCAGCTTGTTAACAAAGGTACACAAAAGCCAATGAAGCCCAGATGGCCATAGTTAATCCCCAATTTCAGTAGCATGAAGCATTTAGAGTATTGCCACCTCCCCACCCCTCCCCCCTTTCATGGGATACTAGTCCATTTCAGGGTTACCTCCCAGCAGTATGTCGTGAGTACCCAGTGAAATACACCTTTCCTTTCTTATGAAAGAAAACATCAAGATGGCAAGGCGCTAACAACTGGACACCATGACTCCACTCCAACTCGTTAATATGACCACGTTAATAAAAATTGTGCTTATGTTAGCCCAAATTTCATGTCCCAGAAGTAGTCAGGGTCATATGTCTCTACTGTATAGGGGTGTAAAAAGATCAATTAAAAAAGTTCTCCCATGACTTTTTTATGGATCTGGCCACAGTGGTTCAAAAGCTGGATAGCACTATCCACCAGATAAATCACTATACAGTGGATAAATATTAGGAAAACCTATTGCACTATCCAGTGGATAGAGATTTATCTGGTGGATAGCGCTATACACCTTATGAACAACTAAGACCTGGCCCTAGCAGTTCAAAGCCTAAGAGGTCCATTCAAGTTGGATAAATCAACACAAAAGTATTGGGTAAAGCACTTGGGCTATCCAGGGAATAGAGATTAATGTGGGGGCTGTTTCTCGAAAGTCCTGATAATTAACAGGCCTGGTAAGCTGTCCCCATTTACATTAAAGATCGAGGTTTCAATAGTTTTGCATCTAACATGACAAGACTATCAGTTAATGAAACAAAATGGAGTAGTTTGCTAGCCAGGACCTGTGCTCTTATTCTTTTTGTTTCGATTTGAATATTTGATTTCAGGCCCGAAAAGTTACCGGGACTTTCGAGAAATGGACCCCTGGCCCCAGATGTTCAAACATTAGATAGCACTGTCCACTGGATAAATCACTATCCTACAGATAAATATTAGGAACACCGATTGCGTTATCTAGTGGAAAGGGATTTATCCAGTAGATAATGTTATCGACCTTTTGAACAACTGGGACTGGGTGCTGGTGATAGTGCTAAATGTTCTACTGATATTAAGTGTTTTCTACCATCATGTTCATAGACTGATGCAAAAGTAAAACTTATTGCATTTTTATCAAAGAGATGTTACTGACACATAAGTTATTCAGAGTGAATTTTCTGGTTTTATGTAGCAAAGAAATAATGCACAGAAAAAGCTGTTACTCGGTGCATCAATAATAGTAAGTTTATGGGCCTGGGACCAGCACAAAATTCCAGGGCTATTACAGAGAAGTACTTGTAAGTCATTAAGTGGAAGTTCCGATGCCCTTGCAGATATCATAAAATGTGCAATTCACTTCATTTTGTACAAGTATATTATTGAAACATACCCAAAGTTAGAGCCATAGCCTTTCATCCCCCAGAACAGGTCTGAATTTTCTTTCTCACTTGCCTTTATAACTTCTCCTGATGTTGTAACCAACTCTAAGAATTTGTAAATTCAGAAAAATGACTTTTGTCCTGAACAACGGCTACTACTTTATTTTCATGACATCGTGTATATGAGTATTAATTTTCATAATCTCAAGTACTCCTAAAAACAATACATGTACATCAATGTGAGCTTATTTTGGTACCCAAAGCAAGACACCTCAGTTTTACACTTACTTAAATTTTCTGGAAATATTTTGTCTGTCAGTGCAGTGGGGGGAATCTTTTGTTATCATCATGTTTCTATTCTAGAGAGGAATCTAAATTAAGATTAACTTACCAAACTCCACAGCATTGTCTGCAGTACACCCAAATGCCCTGGTCAGGAGACCAGTCCCACCCAACAGAGTAAATCCTGCCACACCCAGCTGGGAGTAGCTACCAAGAGGTGTAACAAGAGAGTGAGGAACTGTTTTTGAATCAACATCAGCCATCTTGGCACCTGCTCCAACAATAACTACCTAAAATAAATCATTTAACAGTCAACATGATAGACTAATGATTCTGCATATAGGTACATGCAATTTTAATAATGTCAATACAGGTAATCCTGCAAAACATTTTCCATTAAAATATGAGAGTAAAATAATTAAATGCATTTATTACACAATGTAAGTTATGTAACAATAATTAAAAAAATCCAACTGCACACATACTTTACTTTGAACATCCACAGTAACAGTATTCAGATCTGACAAATCTATCACTACAGCACCATTGGCCAATGCAAAGTCGCTGTTCTTTGCAGCACAAACACACATCTCAAGCTGAAAAAAAGGTTAAAACACTGCCACTCATTTAAACATTATTTCTTACTACTTAATAACACGCCTAGTTACATGCATCAAGTACAGTCTTATACCTGGTCTTGGAGGCCTTTGCCCATTCACACACCAAAGGACTTGAGGAAACAGGGAGCTTTAGAAATAGTTGACTGGAATAAGAGACTGTTTTCGAGCAAACAACGGTACTTGTACCACTTTTCCCTCTAATACCAATCACTCCCATAGCCACTAGATATGCCTCCCTCTAGATGTGTCTTTGGTTTAAATTTTACCATATTATTTTTCCATTCATTAAACTGATTAATTATCAGTCGCTGACCAAACAACAAAGGGGAAATAAAACTGAGGCCATGAATAAAATTGAACCTCTCCAAAACAAATACACCTTTATAAAGGAAGGGTTTTTTTTTTAACAAAAAAGAGTTTGCTGGTGATAAATAGTATATATCACTTCAAAAAGAAAGTAGCAGTAGAGTTTGTACTTGTGTAAGACTGCAACATCTGGAGATCTACGTTATGTCAGACATGGAGACTCCCATTTTCGCAGTACAACCCGCAAAATTGACAACCACCCACTATAAACACAAATTGGCACAGTCCCAAAATATGAAGTCTTACATGAAATATAGCCCCTCAAAAGGCACTTTTTATGACTGTAATACATGCAAAAATGCTGCAAAAGATTGCACTGCAGAATGAATGTAAATATTTTTTAACTTTGGGGAAAACAGGCTAAATTCCAAGCTCAACTACAGGAGGAGATAGGCAATGACCCAAAAAATTATACAGCTGCATTCACAGGCTATGATCTCACTTAACTCCTGAGTCCAGTTGTTCGAAGACTGATTAGCGTTAATCTGGGGTTAAATTTTAATCTAGGTCTCTTTTCATTTTGTCCCAAGGCACTTTTCTCTATTCTACTTAGAGCATTCTCTCCACAAATTTCAGACAAAGAGAATTAAACTGAATTTGCTATTTAAGCTTTTATATCTGAATTCAAATTTCAGACTAACCTTGGATTATGGATTATATTGTACCTTAACCAAGCTTTTAACAACCCTGTCCTGGTTTTAAACCAACCAGCCTTGTGTGCTCTCTAAGGTATCTAGGTATCTAAACTAGGTTTTTGCAATCCTACACATAGCAGGATGGTAAAGGGGGGGGGGGGGGGGGATTAACTACCTAACATCACGCTACTTTTTTAGGCCATCATTTACCCCAGGAAAAAAAATTTTGCCAGAATAAACCATGTAAATGGGGGTGGGTTGGAGGAATTTAAAAAGGAACATTTCAACCCCCTGAAAATACAAAGCCCCCGAAATTTATAATCTGAAACATCCTTTGTTTGTATTGTTTTTCTCATACCTCTTGTTTCTCCAACCCCGTGTTCTCTTTTCCACCTGACTGGTGTGTTGTGTCAAATTGGTATTGGATGTATATAAGTTATGTTGGGGCGTAGGAGGGGGGGGGGGGGGGGGGGGGGGGGGGGGGGGGGGTAGTAACTATCATACATCACGCTGACTTTTTAAGCCATCATGTATCACAGGAAAAAAAAATTTGCCAGCATACAGCATGTAAATGAGGTGTGATTGCAGTAAGTTGACAAGGCAATATCTCAACCCACTGAATGAATAAGCCCCTGCAAATTGTTTTCGGTGTCCTTCTCAGGTACGATTGCATGTTAACAGTTAATTGACTGACCTTAACTGTACAAAAGAATTTTCTGAAATCGGATGTTGCTCAAATATTAACTACATTAACATTTCACTGATCTGAGAGTAGAGATCATATGATTTTGACAGTAGATCAGCCAAGCCTGAGGAATGAGAAAAAGGACCTGAAAATGATTACATGACTGTCCGTTGTTAATTTCAATTCTGTGTTTTCTACAGTGTAAATTTTACAGGAAAAATTGCAGTAATTGTCTTTTGTGGGAACTTCTTTTTGCAGATTGCTGGAAAAATCTAAATAATTAGAACCCACAAAACTTTTGTGCCACACGGTACTTTCAAATAATATTCACCAATCATGGATATCCAAAAGGAAAATCACCCACTACCCCACTATGACCAATCATGTCTCGCATGGCTAATTTGGGCCCGAGGACATATCACCCTAACAATTTAGCACCCATCAGGCATCATGGAAAACCTCTTTGCCAGCACCCTGATGTAGGTTAAGCGTATGCAGTTACTGTATAATATTATTTTGAGTTGATGAATATGAATCATGGCACATTTGTTAGTATGGAACAGAAGAGGGTCACAATAATTCATTTAGCAGCTGCACGTCTTCATCAGCTTTATAGAAACAGGCTAGTCACGTAGTTATTAGGAAACACGAGGCATGTTTCGGCAGAACCTGTGCCACCTCCATGCAGTGAAGTGCTACGTACTTTCAATAAATAGTCAGCAACCTAACTTTAGGTAGATTACGAAAACAATAATGTCATAATGATATATATAATTGGCCCATTAAATCCAGTTGCCCTTTTTCTACAGTTATAATAACAGCACAGCTGGAGTTCAAGTTAATGCGTTACCAGTGAACCGCTGCTTAACGTACCTTGTTGTGCACACAAAACTTAACAGTGTTGGCCACATCTTCCACGGAGGCCACTCTCACAAAAGCACAAGGCAGACGCGTTCGAATAACTGCATTCCACGTTCCATCGATCTCCTTTTGAAAAGCTTTTTTATCTTCTGATTTAAGGATGACACTTCCTGTAAGAATAGCCTTCAATGAGGAAAAATCCGCCATTCTTATCAAGCCGCCCGCAGAAACTGATTTGCGCGTTCGGGCGCGGAATCAACCAGGCGTTACAAGTTTCGGCCCAATCTCCTGTGACGACACGGTCATAGAATATCGCGCGAAGGCGAGTGCGTGCGCGAGGGGAGTGACAACATTGACCACACCAGACCTTAACACCAGACGAATTGGGAAAGAGGGAAAGACTGAGAGAGAAAGATTTTCTCTTCTTTGGCTCTCTAACTTTTCCCCTCCTGAAGGGTATAGGGAACTCACGAGTAGCAGTTTATTGGAAGGTAAGAAAATCTACATAAGCCCATCATGGCCTCCTGAATAGTTCAGACAGTCCTACCATCCCGATCTCGTCGGGCATTGATGTAGCGAACATTTTAGACAGAAATTTTCCTCTCAGAACACTAGAAATGTGCGTTTCAGGGCATCAATGGGTTGGACCTCGGGGCGGACCGGCGGAGCCCAGTGCTGTCAACCAGTTCCCGGATAACTTCCGGGAGACTGCGGTTTTTGGACCATATCTCCCGGTTGAGTATGAAATCTTCCAGATTGTCGCCGAAGTTTGCCATTTCTTCATGTCAGTAGACATCACTGGACTAAACTTACTGAAAGACTAATCAATCTCAAACTAAAAAACATATCACGAAAAATTATTTCTTTATTACAAAATATTTCGGTGGGATTTGTGGCTTTTTGGGCGCGATCCATTCAACCAAAATTCCAACCGGTCCGACCGGCAAAAGTGGTCCACCTCAAAAGCTGGACCCGTTTTTTCGAAACTTTTCCGGTTGGAAAGAACCGATCCATTGAGTTTGGACCGAAATTTCCGGAAATTTTGGTTGAATGGATCGCGCCCTTTGTTTGTTGCTAAAGAACGTGAGAAGAAAAGCCTTCCATTCTTGGCCATAAAAAGGTTTTAATAATTTAAAGACTTCCGTGAGGAAATCTTCTAGCTTCCAAGAATGAACAGCTAAACGATTATGCTACCAGAATTGTTATTGATTTGCTCACTGACATATCTGGTCTAATCCAATAAGCAGGACAACCAGATTGCCTTTAACTAAACTGTCCTTCACTTAGATTGCGTAGCTGGTAACATTTCACAGCTAGCCTGTAATCAGTTTATCGACTCGATTCGCGAAGGTAGGAAGCGGGAAAAAGAGCGCATGATTTGATAAGTTACCCGCACCCAGCCCTCCTCTAGCCCATCCTCGGCTGATGGCTTGTTAATCACCAAATAAGAACAGACAAGTTAAGTGTTTCCTTTTCTTTTTTTTCAGGTAAGTACTCCGGCTTTGTTGAATTATAAAAACGCAACCTAGAGCGCCGGACCATCCTCAGAACCACCTGGAAAACCTGACAGTGTAAAATGAAAAAGAGAAACAGACACCCCAACCCTAATACCTAAATTGTTCAATGTTCTTTCACCTCTAGTTTTGCTCTCTGAAGTGTTACAAGTTGCGTTTTTTTGTTACCCTAAAACGAATAAGTTTAACTAACTAAAAACCTATTCCTTTTTAGGATTAATATTCGGCACGTTCTGGTGGAAGACATTTCCTGGATCATATCTTATTTTCAACTCTTTCAGTCTCTTCTGAACTTTTTCAGCCTCGGGGCCTTGTGGGAAGATTCCATATTTGGACAGTTTCCGATCGAGACCGTCGGCCCATGCTTTAACTACGTCATATGAATTTCGATCCTGTGCGGCAACCACTGCGCCGACTCGGTACCTGTTCGAAAAAAGGGAGTGAATAAAATCACAAAATCCGTGATTCATAGAATAGAAGATGATATGCAAAGTGAAATTTGGAATAAGCTCACATACTCTGCTGCTTTAAAAGGAAATGCGTTGTCCTCGTCTGTCATTTCTCTTAATTTTCCTCCAAGGCTTGGCATGTAAATAAAGCCACATGCCATT